AGGAAAATAAAGTGTACTAAAAAAGGAAGGAGTAACGATAACATGGAAAAGAAGTCCAGTTGGGACAAGAAACCCCACCCCCCACCCCCCAACTCCCGGCCCTCTGCAATCAACAGTAAACAAGGTAGCAAAGCACATCCTATATGATAAGGGAAAATGAAAATTTACCGTAACATGGTACATATATATAATGCTGGAAGAAGGCTATCACAGCCATAAAATTCTAATGGACTCCTTCATTTGAAATGCCATGCAATTTTAGCCGTCAAACACAGGAGGACGCAAGATGAACGGTCATAAGCGAGTATATAACGAGGGATCGGAAAAGTCAGGGAAAAAAAAAATAAAATCGTTTCTTGAAATAATGCACCAGCTGACATTAAAAGACTCCAGCAACGTTCCATTTGATCCAAGCATTAGTTAAAATCAAGCCAGTCCATCAGGGAAGTTCACGAATTCGAAATTGTAAAACAATAACGTCTTAAATTTAATATAAATGATAAAATCGGACTTGGGAGACTATTTGTTCAACCAAGGAATACCTCTAGCAAGAGTTTTCGCCACTGGTGAAGCGTAAAGTGACACATGAAGGGAAAGAAGAAGCAGAAGGCTCGCCTAAAAAGTCATGAACCGTTTTTCGCATCCAGGCTGGCTACAGTCTGTCAATAAAGGACACGTGAGCAAATAAATAAAGCATGATTTTTTACCAATTCACCTATAAGATAGTTACTAAGGAGTCGCCATCTGCCATTCTCTCAAAAGACCAAATTATTTCAAAGTTTCGAAAAAAAAAAATCTACAATATACTTCATTTGAAGAAGAATGAATGCAATTCAAATATCTCTCTCAACTAACTATTTTACCTCTTGCTCCTGTTTGAGCATCTAAATTAGCAAGTTTAGAAAGTGAAAATTATAGCTAAGTAGGATTTTTTTTTTTTTCCGATTTTTATCATCAACATCGCAGTTTTTGGAAATTGAAAGCCGCTTCACATCACATGGAATCATTTTTAGCCAACGGTGACTGGTTTTTATAACTCCAAGACTATGAAGCCAGGTATTACAATAAGAGGAGAAGCTCGTGGCATTGGTTATTTCATCCTTCGATGATGTTAAACTATATACTGATGGATGCCTCAAAAGCAATCTTGGATTGGGTACAGGAGTAGATATTCTTAAGAACCAGAGTAGAACTACACCCTAAGTTGTCTTCAACAAATGGTCACAACAGTCAACATTGAGATGGTTTGCGAAGGCACTTAAACCTCCAGGGCAGAGTCAACAATGCAAGATCACATAACATTCTTTAAGATAACAATTCCTCTGCCTAAGTTGATGCTAAATACCAAACCGATATTCGACTTCATGGAGTCTATCAAATCAAAAATCCATATTAGACGAGCAAAATATCCTTCATTCTTCAAAAATTCCGAACTACATACTTCACCACGACTTAGTATTCTAGTCAAGAGTTGAATTGGCACGGCAAACTCACACTCAACACCACAAAAGATACCTAATCCAAGTAGGGATGAATAAAGCTTCCCACATCCGAGGCACAAAAAGGCCCGTATGCCAACACCGCTGAACCTCTTGAGAATCTGGAAACTCAATATTCAACTGCTCTCACACAGGATCACCAACTAATCAGTACGCAAAATGTACTTTAGTACAGAAATTAGCTACGCATAAACCAATATGAAATCCGGAAAGCCAAAAATAGTTGACATATATAACCATTGTCTTTCCCTTTTTCTTTTATTTTTTTATTTTTTCACAGACAAGTCTATGAAGCAATATTTTGAAGGTGCCTTCATTGTGTACAAGCCACTTGTCAAGGATGGCCATCAGATAACAAATTCAACAAAGAACTTTCTATTTCAAAGCAAGATTGAAAAAATAAGTAAAAACCTATTTCACAGTATAGATAGAACTATTTCTGTGCTGAAGCTTTGACCACTTTCTGCAGATTTTCGATCTTCCTGCTGATATCAAGTTTGACATCAAGTATATCGCACTCATTTTTCATAATAATAGTGGTACTATAGGAACAAGCCCCGGTCCCCCGCTGCCCGAGAAGTTGATGAGGGTTCTACGAATGGGAAGAATAAATCAAATATAGAAGCCACGGCGTAAGCAAAAGAATAGCAGCTGAAGGCTTGATGCCTTCATTCTGGGCACGACAGTGTTATAGTTGTGCATAAAGCAGCTCGTTCCATGCATCAGGAATACCAGGAAGGCACCAATGCAAGCAATCATTTATACCCTCTGATGCTTTTATGCTGTACCGAGATATATGCCCTTCGTCCCTCAGTTCAGAAATAGCAGTTATATCCAAAATCTTTACCTTTGTGCCCCTGATAGCACCTTCAACAACAGGATCACTTGATTTGTCTTGCAAGACTTCACTACCCCTAGACAGTGGAATGGTATTGTCACAGCAACCTCCCGTGTTCCAATCTCCATGCAAAAAATGACGGGGTGAAATTGTTCGGAAAAAAACTTCTAGCCCTGGATGTAATGGAATTTGTGAATCTAGCCATCTGGTAATACTATAGATCGTGTAGTTCTTAGCATTGCCGATTTCTGCTAGTTTCCTGTCAGTTACAGGATTTCCGTTAGCATGCATAACCCAGCGGTTCGCTCTGAGCTTCCCCCGATTCCAATGATGACCCGTATTAAGAATCACGACATGGAACTGAGCAAGAAATTGACTCAAAAAAGCTGGTGGCTGATCCAAATGCATGGCGAATTCAGTGGCCGGATCTGTTATATGGATGGGCTGTATTCCACAGAGACTTGCTGACCAGTAGTATAGAATTGTAGTATTTGTGTCAGGAAACCGATAAGCCCATCCATCGGGACGAACAGCGCCTCGTGGTTTAACAAGGCCATATTTCCATCCAACATCTTCAACATCTGGATTTTCCATGCCCCCACTGACCATGCACAGGAGAGATTGGAATTGCTGTCTGCCCAGTGAATCTCCTATAAACGCAATAGTCTTGTCCTGCATTCTGAAATATAGTTATAATTTTAAGAGCTTAAATCGAAACAGATTCCTTTCACTCCAAGAGAATGGAAGAAACGTTTATGGCAATACAGTAATAAACAAAACAAGTTACTTAACCCAGTATATTATTTTTCTTCCCTCCTTTTATTTATTCAAGTCATCATCAATGTGATTCATGACTCTGCAAGTCAAAAAAGAGAATACATATTTATCCACAATTTATCTTGATTTTAAAGGTCAATATTAGTTTGGAGAAAGTGATCAATGGAAAAGCTTCCAATGTTGACAACAGTTTTAACAACCAAAATCATTTGCAGATTCACATGCCATTGCCAGTACAGAAAACCATAAATCTTAAGAAGTATAAAATTGCAGCACCGCTCCCAATCTATTGATTGAATAGCAAGCTCACCCTAACTTTGACAAAGAGCAAGTTTCAACCTTTTCTCTTTTGTCGCATAACTAGTCCCAATGAATGGTTTCCATCAAAAATACGTTAAGAAGCCACTGTTTTACTAAAAGGATAGTTATACACTTTTTTCTAGTTAAAAATAAATAAAATGAAACGATATAGAAAAAGAAAAGGAGAAAAGGGGAAAAAGAAATGGAATAATTCATGCCAATCCAACCACCTCACCACCACTGCCACTCCCCCTCCAAAACTCTATCATCAGTGGCTCATGCAGTCTTCATTGCCAGCCCTGAGTTATGCCCCTAATCAGCCCCCACAAACAATGGCTCCTGCAGCCCCCACCGTCCTGTTGCTTGGTGTTTTGAGTGTGGACATTTATTCAAACACGGAATATCAATACTTTTGGATGGAAATCCTATCCACTAGGACTATTTCTGCAAAAATAGAGAAATGTTGACCACTAATTTGCTCCTTTTAGAGGATGGGAATCAATTTGTTACTTGAACAATATGTTTCGGACAAACACAGCAATTTTTCCTTCCTAAAAATGGAAGAACTAAAATTGGCACAAAGAACATATACCTTCTCAAGAATTTGGAACCTTCAAAATCTCTCATCTCACAATTGTCTGGTTGCCAACGATAACCTTCATAAGTGAAATCAGTTCGCTGGGTTAGTCTACATGCCCACATATCAGATAGCCACTGCTTACATCCAAATCCGGAATACAATGGTCTCTGGCTGTCTGCAACCCATCTACCTTTGGCATAATTACAACCTGTAGAAGTAACGCATAAGAGATGTTTTAACAATAAAATCAAAATCAATAGCATTTCCAATTTTGCTAAACAATTCATTGACAAAAGACAATTTTGGTTTTTTCTAGAAACACGGTGGTGGTTATTAGACATATACCAAAAATAACTTAACAGCTAACTCGAGCTGCGAAATGGTAGACTGAAACATGACAAACACAAAGCATGTAAAAATACAAAATACGTTCATAATATCTTGTTAAACATCTTTAAAATCCACTACAAAACAAATAATTTAGAAGTCCAACTTACCAAACAATCATAGAAAACTAATACAATAAAGATATTATCTGCAACTAAAACTAGAAAAGTCTAGAAATCTCTCATATCATCACAACTAATAGGATCTTCAAAACAGTCATTGGAATATTTGATTTTCATGACATCCTCCTCAGCACCTAAGGTGCTCCTTTTAAAATCCACTACAAAACAAATAATTTAGAAGTCCAACTTACCAAACAATCATAGAAAACTAATACAATAAAGATATTATCTACAACTAAAACTAGAAAAGTCTAGAAATCTCTCATATCATCACAACTAATAGGATCTTCAAAACAGTCATTGGAATATTTGATTTTCATGACATCCTCCTCAGCACCTAAGGTGCTCCTCAACCCTTCAAGAAAAAATTCAGAGATTATTGCAGATCCAATATATTACAACAGTAATATTATCTCAAAACTGACCATGTTTGAACCGAAAATATCACAGCATTATATTAGCATTGAAACTTTTGTACTCCGCATATTAGTTGTAAGTGGCCCTGATATCACTACAAATAGAGACCTTGGGTCCAGTTCCTTGGATAAAAGGGGTTCCCCAGTTTCAGTGCAAGTGAAAATGCATTATAACAGCAATAAACGCAATGGAAACTAACCAACTAGCAAATCAAATTCCAGAAATCTGAAGTGTTATCGATAAACAAATTTCTGAATCCCCGTTATAGGTTGACAAATCTAGCAATTTCGTTAACTGGAAATCATACCAATGTTTTAAAAGCGCCAGTAGATCACAAGAACAGTTATGCGGCGTTGGGTTCCAATTCATTAGAAAACATTCAAACAAAATATCATGGCTTCTAAAAAAAGGCAAATCGGTTGAACCCTAGAGAAAATTCAATCGCTGACAATCTCAAATTCTTACTTTCCATAAATCCATAACCCTATTTATAAAATCCCCAATTCCTCCACAAAGAATTTTATATCAAATGAAATTTGGCAAGAATAGGGATAGAGAGGGTGAACAAGATTAAGAGGATAGTAGCATACCTTGTTTATTAACAGAGGAACCTAAAATTGTACTTTCATCTACTCTTTCAGGAGAAGGTCGGACAGGAATATCCATCACTGCACTATCAGAATGTTTTATAGATGCATCCTCTTCTGTATCTTCCATTACGTGTGAATGTGAATACTCCTCTGTACGCTGATCCCTTGAATTCAATAATGCTGGGGAATCAAAATCAGCCACCGAAAGATCTGTGATGCAAAACATACATTAATCATAAGAAAATTGAAATAAATGCCATTACTCAATTGGCATATTACTGAAAATATATAAACATTTGCCCAGATGCTTTCTTTACGAAGATTATCCAAACACAAAAAAACATATGTTGCTGTGGTT